TTTTAAAAACGTGTTTTTGATTTCGGTGGTGATAGTTTCTGTTCCCCTTTCTTCTCCTGCGGCAGTTAACACGATGAAATTTTCATTTTCTCTTTTGACTCCTGCAGGTACTATTTTTGGATTTATATAGTTTTTTTGTGCTCCTGTGTCGAGTAGCCATTTACGGTCCTTTTTGTCAATTACATAAGGCAATTTATGGAAATTATTTGTCTGGAGTTCCTGAATTTCTATGTTTTGAAATTCCGATCTAGGTCGTCCTCTAAAAAATGATCTTCTGTTGTATTTGCGGTGAGCCTCTCTAATCGTTCACGAAGTTCTCTTATTTCTTTATCTCTCGGGTCTTCTTCTTCCACTTTATATACTGCGTGTCTTGGGTTATTTTTCTGAAAACCGCTCACGGTACGCATTGAGACTGTGTTTGATGGTTCACCTTTCTCTGCGGGCTTATTATTTTTAGATTGTCCAGAGCCTCGAAAATACCTTCTTTGGTCTTCGGGCTTCCACTGCTCTTTGTGAGGTTGGTAGTCTCTCCTTTCATGATGATTATTTTGATTACTGTTATGGTAATCTTGGTGGTAATCTCTCCTTTCATGGTGGTTATTTTGATTACTGTTATGGTAATCTTGGTGATAATCTCTCCTAGGGGAGTGTCGACGTTCATCATTTCTTGATCCGTAGAAATTTGGTTGGTGATAGTTTTTATTATGATGTCTTTTATCATGTCTCTTATCATAACCTCTTCTGTTTTCTTCCTGAGCTTCCCCGGGCTTCCTCATATTCCCAGAATTGATCAAATCTTCAAATAGAAGGTGATTTTCATTTTGTATAAGATTCCGTAGGTCATCAAGAGTTTTTAGACCGGCTTTAGTCATCAGATAAGTCCTAATATGTAGAGGCATATTTGTGAAAAAGTGGTATAATATATTTTTCTCTAACGCGGATACTATAGTTGCTCTTTCCGGAGTGTTCTGAATTCGGTATTTGGAAATAATTAGTGTTCGACTTCTGTCTAATCGTTGAAGGAAATCTAGAGGGTGTTCCTTATGACGAATTCTTAAATTAAAGAGTTCAAATGTTAGTTGTTCAATAGAACGAGAATCCCTAAAAGTATTTTCTAAATATTGTAAAAGTTCAGTGACCCCAGTGAATTCACACGTCGTATTAATGTAGTCAGCGTCTCCTGTAAGTCTAGCTAGGATTTTACTGAGTAAGCGTTGGTCATTCAGTTCGCGGAGGTTGTTATCGGGTTTGCAGACTATATTGTAAACCTGTCGGCAAACGGTTACAAATTTAAGCAAATTATGTGGATCCCCATTGAATGCTGGAATATGGTCATAATCAGCGGATTTAATTGCAAAAGTGGTTGCCATTTCGTCTAAATTATTACAGTCGTTAATGCGAATAGATCTAATTTGTTCCAACCTTTCAGCTAATTTACTCATAAAATTGTTAGTACATATATGTTTATAACAATATAATAATATAAATGTTAATTTATATATATATAATAAAAAAAATTTATATAATTTAAATATTAATAAACCAGAAAATAATAAAAATTAAAAAATTTAATGAGTTTTGATGATTTCAAATAAAGTTGACTCACAATTTTCTTCCAAGAGTTTCGATGTCTGTCGGGGTGATCAGACGATTTCAGTTCAGCAGCAGGTCCTTCTTCAAGATCTAAGAGTCAGAGCGGGGTGCCAGCCTCTTACAGGTGTGATATCCTCGAAAGGTAGATCAAATCTTGATTTCTGGTACTGCAGAGTTCGAGTCTAGAACCGAGATGAAATATGCATGCGGTCCCTGTTCGGGCGCCTATTATGAAACTCAACCGTCGAAAAGTGAAAAAAAACTTTATTGAGAAAACAAATCAAACAATGAACATTATGACATGCTAAGTACTACTGATACAGATCTCTTGCTTACTGACTAGCCTAGGATTTTATGGGGGTATATATAGGTAGAGGAGAGGGAGGCTGCTCAGAATGTCAAGTCAGCATAGTTCGTTTCCATAACTCTGTATATGGACGAAAGTGTGGCAATCTGCAAATGGCGAACTGGCAGGACGTTCCTAAGACAGAGAAATTTCCTTTCCATGGTGATCCAGTTTTTAATATATGCAGATGATACTTTCCTCATTGCAGACTCCGAACAGAAGCTGCAGCAGACAGTGACAGAATTGTACACAGAGCTCCGCAGAAAAGAAATGGTTATAAATACTGACTAAAGGAAATCATTCGGGTTGGAGGTTTACAGGAATATTTTGAAGTGTTCTGTAATGGAGAAAAATTGGCAGTATTCTAGGATTCCATTTACCTACCTAGGAACGGCAGAGGAAAATGGAGGCAAAAATACAACAAAGGATAGGTAAGACAAACGCGAACTACTACCAGATGTGCAATACTATAATAATGGAAAGCGAAGGTAGGCGGAAACGTGAATCTCCACATCTTTAAGTCGGTATACTTGCCAGTGCACCTATATGAAGCTGAAAGCTGGATAATGACAGATGAATAGTAGAGCAGGGTGACAGCTTCGGAAATGAGACTTCTTCGAAGAATTTCTAAAAAACAAGAAGGGGCTGCGTCCGCAATGAAAGGATCAGAGAGGAACTAAGTGTACTTCTATTGAAGGAGGTCCTAGAGGCTCGCCATTTGAAGTGATTCGGCTATCTTGTCAGAATGTATGAACACTGAGATCCCCTGAAAACCGTGGACTATGCCCCTGATGGTCGACCGTTGACCGTACTTGCAACAGGTGAAGAAAGGAACTCTACCAAGCCAGGAAAATGACAAAAAACAGAGAACAGTGGCAATCCTGACTAAACGTTCACCTATGCTGATAGACACAACACTAAAATACTAAAAACAATTATTTAATTTAAAGTCAACGTCTTCTTTAGTTTCATTCTAAACTCCATACTACATACAACCCCCTGAAGAAGACCTGCAAAATCGAATCAAAACGTTGGCTTACATATTTTTTTTACTATTTTAGTCTTTTTATGACCGCCATCCCGGACCATCATCTTCTTTTACTCAATCATATACCACAGTCAACCATCAATATGTATGTTTTCACTAGCGTTTCTTATAACTGACATTTTCAAGTTGTAGAACCTTACCTACGAACCATGTGTTAGAAACATCAATGCAATATAAGGAATATAAAAACATAATACCCAAAAAAAACGAGAAAAAAAAAGATATTACAATAATATTATCCACTTATTATTTTATAGATCAGAAGAAATTATGACTGAAATTGGATTTTTATGAAAGCACTTACTGTGTTTGTCGGCCTGGTCTGGAACCAGCTTCTTCCTCTCCTATGAGCGGCTCCACCTGACGTCACGATCTACTTTCCAGAATGGACGTATAAAGTTTGTAAACAACTGGGGATAGGCATATGGGTCTGTAGTTGGAGCATGCTGCCTGACTATGCAATTGTGGGCAAATTTTGTTCCGACAAATATAAATATTTGGGAATGATAATAGATAATAAGCTATCAAGGGTCCACCACATCAATCATTTAAGAGACGAATGCACGAAAAGGTTAGGACTTCTGAAGTGCATTGCTCATTCAACTTGGGGAGCCGATAGACTAACACTAATCAAAATATACCATAGTGTAATTAGGAGTAAAATTGATTATGGAGCTCAAATATATGGAATAGACCACAGGACGTCACTAAAAATGCTAGATTCCATCCACAATTCGACTCTTAGAATCTGCATAGGAGCCTTTTGAACGTCCCCAGTCGATACTATGTCTACAGAATCTTCTCCTTCTGTAGAGATGAGCCGAAATTATTTATCAATAAAATATATTTCAAAATTGAAAGCACGTCCACAGCATCCATTAGCTCCAAAACTGTTTTTTGAGAATTCCGAAAAGCATAGAGGGAAAGGTTCAAAAGCATAGAGGGAAACAAATTTAAATTAACGGTTTATAAAACATTATGTGATACAAACATGAATCTGAACACAATAAGGCCTATACCTGATCTCAAACTCCCTTGCTGGAAGAAATTCAGACTGTCTGTAGACATATCGATGACTCAATACGAACATATTTCTTTCGATTACTAGAAAGATATAAAGATTATAAGGTCATTTACACCTACGCCTCCAAAGTAGAAAATAACGTTGGTTGCGCTGTCTATACAACCGAAAACCAGCTACTATTCAACTTACCAAGAGAGAGCTCCATATTCAGTGGAGAAGCGATTGGGATAATGAAGGCCCTCTATTAGATATCGAATTCCAAAAATAAAAACTGGATCATAGCAACTGACTCCAAAGCGATGTGGCAGCCATTGGTGTCCCGTGGACAAGCAACTCCCTCATTAGAGAAATAATAAACGTATGGTGGGATATGAGAAAAAGATCAGTAAGTGGGGTCTTTGTCTGGATTCCGTCCCATAGTGGCATAATGGGCAATGAAAAAGCAGACCAAGCTGCACATTTGGCGAAGAAGGGAGAGGTATCAGGTTTAACACCAATAAATTGCATCACCGTTGAAGATTGGATCTATGAAACAAAAAAAAAGCTATTAAAAATTGTGAAAACCTATGGAAAACACTACGAGGCAAAATATCAGAAATAAAAACTCCAGAAAATCGAGAAGAGAAGATGGTAGCAAGATGGTTCGGTACACTAAATTTTGGTTAACTCTTATGGTCTTTGATATAGTTTTGGAATTTTTCACACTTTAAAAAAGAAGCATTGTCCGATACTAGAACTAACGGATAACCATGTATTGAATAAATGCTTTGCAGAACCATAATAGTTAAAGTCAAGATCCCAAGTATCAATTTTATGTTAGTATCTAAATAAATTTTATGAGCAAATTATTTTTTTTGTCGTCCCTTTAAGAAAACAATAAAAATTTATACTTTTTAAAAATACTGCAGAGTAATTAACCTCTGTTTGGTTATTTTCATTCTTCTTGCCTCTTTGGAAAAAATTAAATCATGATTTCTTATAACCTTCTAGTTTATCTCATGCAAGGTTCATAAATGTAAACATTGGAATGCTGCCTTCTGATAGTAACTACTATTAAATATTTGTATTCATCTTAACTGGGATTTTTTATGTAGCTCACGTGCCTTATTATTGATTAGTGTTTTTCTCCCAGCGCTGCTTTATATTTGTTGATTAGCTATGGAAGAAGTTGGTAAGGAAAACTTGTTATCTACTTATTTTTTTGTTTTTCTTATCCGAATGAAACATCCAATAGGGGTTTTTAAATATAAAATCAATTATTTATTTTTTATAACTTTTCCTTGAAAATTTTTAATCCTTAAATGGTTATCTTTTATTGTCTGTGATAACAAACTTTGCATATTTTTGTTTTTAATGATAAAAATCAGTTCACATTGACAACCCTCTATTTTAGTCTTACAACAGGAGCCCCTCCTTGTTGGACAACTAGGTATCTTACGGATACATTTATAATCCAGCTCCGGATTTCTTTTAACTGCTGATCAATTATCTTTACAAATTAGTGTAGTCAGATATAATTAATCGTATTTTATATTGTAATCTTATGCATATTTGGTGATAAATCCTTACAATTAAAAAAAAATGAACTTGAAATTCCAGATTCATTTCAATTCAATTCATTTTCAACTAACAAGAAATCAATTTAATACCCTTTTCTTCAGAATCTCAATTTCAATTTCAGTTTGTTTCTTATTTGTTTGCTAATGATAATATTTATTATTATTTTCATTGTCAATAGTCCAAGTGAATTTTTATTCCAAAGAAATTTTATTGCTCTCTTCATAAAAACAGTGCAAGTAGGAATGAAATTACAAAAATTGTAAATCAAATACAATTACACTTTCACTGATGTGTTCCATCTCTTTTTTCTTGGAAATCCAAGACGTTTTCTTGCTTTCTTTCTTCCCAAATTCCTAAAAATATAGTTCCCTCCAAAAACTCAGAACCCCATCAAAATGTACCTCTCCAAAATTCAAAACCCTTTAAAAATGTGCTCCCTTAAAAAGTTGTGGTGCAACTTGTGCCATGCAACCCCCTTCTGGGTACCCTTGTTTTTAATACATTTAGTTACTTATGTTTTAGTTTCTTAAATGTTTCAACTATTTTGTATATATTTGTTTTATTAATTTTTACTTTCACTTACCTATTGATAGTATTGTATAGTAGTATATAATGAGGGAAAGTATTGTGATCACGAAAAATTTTTAATCTGAGTTTTCACGGAAATACATGTTTTGAGATCGTCTGAGTCCTAATAACCAAATCCCGCTAAATAGTCTGTGAATGTGTGTGAACAGCCTACCTCAAAAACAAAAAGTCCTACAAATCTGAAATTGCCTATTTAAGATTTGTATATGTTATATAAACTTTTTCGTCAAAATCTGCTAACTGGAAATTCCACTTAATATAAAAATTTTTAGACATTTTTACAATTCTCTCGAAAATAGCTCTAACAATTTTGATTCATTATATCTTTGAAAAATTAAACATTTTTTAATATATATAATTTATGTCTTACACTCATTGATATTCTTTAACACGATTTAAATGTCTAATTTTAAAAATTTCTCCCTCTGAAGTACCTTTAGTTCTTTTTATTTGAAATAATAAACCATTTCATATTGAAACCTGATATCAAATATGGTCAAATATAAAATTGAAAGAATTCAATACTTAACTAAAGGAGAAATAACCTAATTTAATAATAGAGAACCGATAAAACCTGTGCAGTTGAGCTTCTCGGAAATGTTAGAATAGGCTTCCATATGTAACACGTGTCTAATATGCGGGCTCTGATAATATTCTATATATGTGTATGATCTATTCTCATAAATATTAGCATTGATTTTATTTAATATTTAATTGTATAGATTACAGCATTATAAAAACAAAAATTTACATATATATGTCAATGCTTAAACAAATGAAATATATATAAATACAGTGGCCTATATTATCAGTGGCACTCTTGTCGGACTAAAACTATTTCATGGCACTCGATTATTTATTATAATCAAATAAATAATTAAAATATACAATCATGGGTTGGTGGTTGACTGTAGTGAAATAATGAAGAGAAGGATGGTTGGGGTGATCAGTCAAAATAAAAATGGCAAAAATAAATAATAATATTTATTTTAACATTAGTCGAGGTTTTGACCCAAAATTCAGGGCTCAGCTCCTCATTCTTTCTTCTTCTAATTCCATTCTCAGAAATTCTGCCCCATATTCAAATCAATATATCGTACTTTAAAATCAACCATGAAAAATCAGTAGTTGAAAACTTACATGGGCATGGTGGGCATGCATATACCTGAGATATCAAATACGTGTTTTTCATCCTATTCAAAGTAGAGAGACATAGTTTGAGTTGAAGTAAAGTTGTATCAAAAAGAGAGGATAGAAAAAAAAGTAATAGACTTCTTCCTCTCTTATGTGTAGAGAAAACTTTACAAATATGTTAGGACATATATCTGATAGATATGATCACCTTTTTTGAAAGTCAATCATCTAGTTAAATATCTATTGTTCCTAATCCAGTGCTATAAAAAATTAGAATACTGTTCTTATTTTATTGCACAGTTCATTTTTAAATCCTATTGTACAGCTATACCCTATTGAATCATGTGGTCTTGCGTCTTGCTCGTTATGTATGTAAAGCTTTGGCTAATTTCTGTAATTTAGAAGTGAAGATGGATTATTTGTAATTGTAAATAAATTCTTTGATATGCTGTTGTCGTTTTTCTCTGAAAGAATTACAGAAAATCTAATAGTTAATATGGTTAATAGATATTATTGGTTTTTGTTACAGTTCCAGCAATTGAGATCAAACAAGAGGATGAACCACAAATTTTTTATGGTAAGCTAAAGTTTATATTAATATTTTATTTTTTCTTTGGTTATTTTATAGAATTTCATTTCTAGTCAATGAAAAATAAGTAGGAATTGGATTTTTTTGTAAATTAAGAACACAAAAAATGAGGAAAAGAAATACAATAGGAAACATATTTTCAATTTATTTTCATCCTCATTAAAAATCCTTAAATATACTTTTAATACAGATTTTGTGCCATGTTCTTATGAAAACTTATATTAATTTCTATGGATTAAATCATATAATAAACATTTTAAAAAATCTTTAGAAACGTATATGGGCCGAACTATCCCAGATATTTCATATGTTATGGACAAAGATACAGTAAATATACCTTTGCAGTAAATCTAATCTAATTAATTGCTTGCTCAGGAGGCATGTGTGGCAATTTATTTCTCCAAATTTCTGATTTAAGTTCAAATATTTTCAATCTAATAAACTTGTCTTTTATTTGTTCTTACTTATTTTAATATGACTGCAAATATATACACATATGAGATGCTTTATTTTATTTTAAAATTGTATGAAACATATAATTACAATGCTTAGAAGAAGAAAAAAAGTAAATTCATGTAAATCTGATGCGTACAAATAACTAGTTATTGTAATTTTTCCTTCTTACCATCTTTCGTGTCTCTTTTAAATAGGTCATAAATGTTTGATGGAATCATTTTTTTTTTTTTTTTAATTTTAAACATTATATGTATGTCTTCAGGAGGCCTCATTCATGTTAAACAAGAGAAAGAAGAAATATGTACCCTCGATGAAGGTGAGACACATTTATCTTATTTTATAAGATTAAGCTTTAAGTGAGTAGTTTGTACAAGGCAAATCAATTTTCATTTTGTCTTTGTCCATCTGCTTTTTTTATTATCTTTATTAAAATTTAATTGTTGGTTGATGGTTTCAGAGTTTATTTTTGCAGTATTTTTTAATTATTCATAGTATTTTTTTGATGAATTATTATAAAATTACTGGTTTGTTAATCACAGGATTAATTTCAATTCAGAAATACTTATTAAGCTTATATCTCTAGCAGTATCCAACGACCCCAGATGATCTTGTTGCCACAGATGAGAGACCTTTGTTGCCGAGTATGTAAATAAAGTATTGTCCCCTTTATCACTCTTGAGCCTAGCAGCAATGGTTAAAACTTGGGCGAGCTGAAAGCTATTGTTTGTCAGAATTCCAACATTCCCACTCTGGTTACAATAGGTTTGATTATATTTCTTTCTAGAACAACTTTGAAAAAAAAAAAAGTTTAAAGAATGTCAATGGCACAAATCTAATGTAGTCTTGTTAGCACCAAAATTATTTTTAAATCTTCTCAAATCTGCAACCGGATTACAGATTTCAGAAGATTTAAAAAGTTAAAAAGTTCGTGTGCCGGTGCCGGAGGGGATTTTAAATTCCCCGCCCTCACCCCCCCGGCCCGGCAAAATCCCGTATAGCCTAAAAGGCGGGGCAGGGAACAAAAAAAAAAGCACCAAAATTATTTATTTTAATAGGTATTTGGGCTTAATAAGTTCTCCATATTCACGAATATTTAGCCTTATATGGAAAAATGATATGCGTATTTTGTCTTGCAAATTGGGTAGTATATATTTTTTTCATTTTATTTGCTGATTTCCTTACTAGATTTCTCACCCAATCATATTATTCTATATTGACACCTGGAAAATAGCTAATCATATATTTTTTTAATAAAGATAAATATTATGTTAAGATTTTAATAATTTTGACATGGATACTTGTCTTAATGTTGCCAGAATAAAACTTAATTTTGTGTTTTAAAGACTGGACTGTTACTAATTTTCTATGCATAGGAAATGATATATTTTGTAATATTTTTACAAGGGGTGAACAGAAAATGAAAATTCAAGACTTGTTATTGGTGTACTTTTGGTTTTTGAATTTGCATGTAAGTCCTATGGTATTATCATTACTTATCTAAATGTTTGAATTACTTGAATTTTTAATTTTTGTTCTCCTTTGATCATTATATCTGACTTGTTTCCATAATTTTTTTTTTTTTTTTTTGTATCTCACTTCCCTATATTTCCTTTGCCATATTATTACAGCTCTTCAATTAAGTTATTTTATACATTAAGATAGTTATTAAAACAAATTTTATATTTGTGAGTTAAAAGATTTTTGTCAAGTGGAGGAATATTTCAGAAACCTGACAAGTCTAATCTTTTTGGCCTATATTTCTATGTATACCTCTAATGTTAATATTTCCTCCATTGTTACCTAACAATGATTTTATTTACTAATATAGTAGTAGTTACTTATATACAAATTAAGTACTTATAAACTATATTTGAAATAGTTTAGTATATGTTTCATTTAACTGATTATGTTTTACATTATTACTTCTTTCTCTATAGGTGGCCTTATTGATCTAAAAAAAGAAATAGAATATATGCTTACTCCAGATGATGGTGAGACACATTTATCTTATTAGCCTCACTTTACTATAATGCTCTTATGTATAACCAAAACATAATAATTTTTTTTAGATATTTTAGTTATTCTCAATATTTATGAATGATTTTAGGAAAGCCATATATACAATTTGGTGATACAGTTTTATGATGAAGGTACTGATTATCATAAAATTATAATTTGTATGTATTAGTTTTTTGTATCACTCATATGGTTGGCTCAGACTGATCAGAACTCATGAATTACTTTTGTAGCTCAAACAGCCATCTCTAATTGGTTTAAATGTCTAACTTAAACAATTTATGTTTTAATTTACATTTTTTATCAGTGTACATTTTCAATTTTTAACAAGAGAGCTGTTCAAACAGATGAGAAAAAATGAAATCCTACTCTTCAAACTTGATAACTCAAAAGTAAGTGATAATGTACAGAAATAGGTTTATAGAAATAGCGTTTTTTGGTCAAAAGTTGTCAAAAAGAAATGCCCTTTTTCTTCTCTTGAGCAAATAAAGCCAATAATAATTTACATCGGCGAAATATCACTAAACTTTAAAAGAAAATAATAAAAGTGGATATAATAATTATAATTAAATGTAACATCACTGACAAAACAACTATATAATATTTTTTGTTGAATTCAATAAAATAATGTGTAGAATCAATATTAATAACAGAAAGCATTCAAAATTAAACATTTGACGAACGTTCGCACAAATGTTCTCAGCATCATGTAGATAGAGCTGGCTTAAATTGTACCTGAGGAATAAAGATAAAATTAGTTGTTCTTTTTCTAGAAGAGAAAGGATTAAATTAAAGGAGATTTGTTTGAATTGGAGAGGAGTTCTCCTTTTTTTACATCATTGTAAGCTAACAAAGCTTTTCAACCATTATTGAGCATTACTTATCAAGATGTGATATAATCTCTAAATATTTTATAAATAACAGTCTCTATAAGCTTGTTTCCACTTTTCACTTTATATGCTTCTCTTAGAAGAATCATCTAAAGTTATAAGTGTTGATTGGCTTTATAAGCTGAACTAGAAAGAATTTGATTTATATCTGGCTTTGGTTGAAAGAGTTGTTTGATCATTTATGTAACTGCTGATTCATTGAGAATGAAGATGTACCATGAGTGTAAATATGGAACCGGAATTCATTATGGAAATATGTTTATTGCATAAAATGTTAAAAATATTTTGTTCGAAATATTGTCAATCGCTAGCTATACATTTTTCCCATCTCTCTGGTATTTTATGAATGCTAAACTAGAAAAAGTCATCAAACCATTTTCGTAAAAAGTGGAGAGCTGCTGAGTGAGAGAACTGTAGTCGGATGGAGCTAAGTCTGGTGAGTAAGCTGCATGCGCTAATATTTCACAACTGATTGCCTCAATCTTTCCTTCATTGATTTTGTGATTTTCTGAATTATTAATTACTTAATCAACAAATGAAGAAGTAGTGTGTAAAAAAATAAACATAAATTTAACACACTAAATAATCAATTAATTATTTATTATGAAAATGACTTATACCACTTCATTCAACCCTTCCATTTATAAATATTTTTAAAAACCTAATTTATTGACTACTTTCACTTCCTTTTGTCTGAAAATACTTATTTCTGCTTTGAAAAAAAGGGTAGTACGTGAAATTGTGTGATGTGCGCACCTCTCCTGATTACAACATTTTGTTTTACAACTGTTGGCGCTATTGGAAGTTTTGAAATTATTTCCAATGAACCATTATACACAGTTGCCACTATTCAGAATTCCAATTGATAAATACTTAACTGTAGATTTAGTACACAATGTGAAATACAATAAATTTAAAAAAATAAATAAGTAAGGAAAAATGAAGAATTCGAACCAGATAAGATCTTAAAACAGTTTAAAGATAAGTTAGGGAACGGGGTAGCTCAGTGGGTAAGCACTAGCTTCCAAAGCTCAGGATTCTGGATTTAAATCCAGCTGATGACAAGTAATTTTTCATTAGCCATGGATTGACTCACCATGGCTTATCCAGCTTCGATAAAGTGGGTACTCTTAATTATTTATGGAGTAAAACCTGGGAGTTGAGCGTGATCCCGGTTTGATCACCTACCTGCACAACTTTTGGCCTTGAAACAGTACTTCCTGAACTGAACTCATCTAAAAAAAATCGTCTTTTACCCACCTAAGTATAAATTAATATTTACCTCCTTCCCATCAGTCTTAATTTTTTTAAATCATATTGTTCAAGGTAGGAAAAATACTTTTTGGAAATCATGGAATTTACTTTCAGGAGTACAGACAAGAGGAACTATTGTCAACAGAAGTGTCCAGATCTTGGGCCTTGCTGACAATATTGACATAGTTGCAAAATCAAAATGTGAGCTGATTAACGCTTTTCTGACAATCCAACAGACAGCTGCACTATTGGAACTTGAGATAAATGAGGCCAAAACTAAATATATGGTAGTAAAGGTTGACAGATTTCAACGAGGTGAAAGTTTTATAGAAATAAGCCCATACAAATTTCAAAGAGTACAATTTACATACCTCGGATTTCTGGTAACATCGGACAATGACGTGATGAAGGAAATAGGTAAAAGAATAGCGGCAGCCAACCGTTGCTATTTTGGCTAAAGGAGGCAGATCATGAGCCAACTACTCACAAGACAAACTAAGGCAAGATTATATAAAACTTTGATTAGGCCGGTGTTGACCTATGCCTCACAAACATGGATGATGACAAAGGTTGATGAAAATAGCCTCTTTATGTTCGAACGGAAAATTTTACGACTATACAACCCTGTGAAAGAAGGAGAAACTGAGAGTTATACACTCTGTATAATGAATTTAATGATCTTGACTTCATAATGCTTAAAAGGTTAAGTAAAGGGCCGGCCATGTGATTCGGATGGAGGAGGGTGATATTCCTATAAGAGTCCTTGAGGATAGGATTGACCGCTCATGGAAGAGAGGCAGACTCAGACTAGGATGGATAGATTGAGTGGCGGCTGGCTCCAGGATACTACTAGGAAGACCGAACTGGAAAGCAATGACAATGATCGAGCTGGATGGCGGAAGCTCCTATCATAGAGGAGGCCAAGATCCACCTATGGGTTGTTGTAGCGCCAACGAGATAGATAAAGACTTTCGTTTCAATGTCAATGCCTTCATTATAATGACAATTTCATTAGGACGGATTCCTTATGTTTGTTGTAGAGAACATTATCTTAGCTACAGATATATTAGTAATATATATAATATAATATATATTATGTTATATATATATATATATATATATATATATATATATATATATATATATATATAATATACTTTTACTGAGATACTATATATTTTCTTTAATATTGATTATTGTAATTTATGGCCAGATGTGGTTTTTATTTTTTTGTTCATAACTGTTATTCATAACGGACCTCGTCCCAGAATAAAGATTACTTTCTATCTATCTATAAGAAAAAAATTAAATCAAAACAGAAAAAAGCTCTATAAGCTGAGAAAAGCCAAAGGATGGTAACAGGAGGAGGAGATTACAAATTCTCCCTTACAAGAAAATGTGTTAATATAGAAAGATTAACGGAGGTGTGAAGTGAGACTGGCACAAGCCAACGACCCTTCCTATGTACTGGGTTGGAGTTTGAAATGGCATTTAGAAATATTTCTGATTATGATTAGTAAAAAAAAAATTAGTTGTATTTTCAATACACAGGTACATTGATTGAAGTTGTAGATGTGCCAACACCTGAACCATCTGGTGTCCAACCAATGACGGGTACTTTATAATCAATTTAAAATGTTGAGTACTATTTCACTATAATATATAATCAATTTAATTTTATTAGGAGTAAGGAACATAAGAATGAAACAGAATGAAGATGAAGGGCTGGGTCAGTGTTATAATATTGAAGATTTCACAGGTATTACATATGTTATAAAATAATCAATATAATTTATAATGTGAGGACTGTATATGACAAATGAGAAACTAAGAAATTTTGAACAAGAAGTGATTAAAGAGTCTTACCTAATCAAAATTGTCCTCCTTCTAGATATGGTTGAAGCAACTCCAGAACCACTTGGTGCCCAACAGAAGATTTCAAGTATTCTATAATCAGTTGATGAAACATGTTATAGGCTGTTTCTCTGTAATGGTTATTTAATTTTATTTTAGATACAATGAAGAGGAGACCAATGAGTCGCCAAGATGCCATCGACCTTGAGTTGCAGGCAAGGTTAAGGCGCCAAGCAATATTGGCTAAGCATGAGAAAGAATTATATGCTATAAGGATGGAAACTGCCCAAGAAGAGTTGAAGAGGGCACAGTTAGAAACTGAATTCCTTAAAAAAAAAATGAAATTGGAAATTTAATTTCTTAAAAAAAAAAAATGGAATTGGAAATAGAATTTTAAAAAAAATAGATTAAAAAATACAATTTTTATTTTTACAAAGAATTTATCTTTTTATTTTTTTAATTTCAATAATTTTTTTAACGGAAGTGTGCTTCAATAAATGATTCCTTTATAGCTTTCTCTCTATGTGTTTGTGGATGGGGTACTACATTAATAACAGAACTTATTTTCTAATTCAAATATATTTTTGATCCTTCCAATATTGTAAAGAATTGCACAAGCAGCTATATTTAAAGTGCCTTACTCTAGTAATTTAACTGCACTGTTGTAAAAATTCGGCTATCATGGGCTGATACAGGCCTGCGGATAACTGTATCAAATATTTCATAATTAGTTCCTCCCTCAAATTGAACATTCAAAGACATCCAGCTTTTTTGGTTTCGGAACATCTTATTGGTATATGGGTGCAATCAATACATCCAATGACATTCAGGAATCCTACTTTTTGATAGAATGTATCTTTCAGTTGTTGCAATCTTACATTATTTTCAGGAAATTTGATAAATTTTGAAAAATGTCTTACTATTTGTTTAGTTGTATAATTAATAATTCTGCATTCCATTGTCTGATGCAGGTTTAGAAGATCCCACATACCACCTATATACTTTTTAATAAAACCAGAATAATGAATAAAATAAAGTTTAGTAAAAAAGAAGAAAAAATAAATGAAATAAGTACCTGAAAGCTACAACAGGCATGGTTTGCAATTCTGCAGCTACTTTATTTAATGATAACAAAAAACTAATGCTCTCCTCAAATATCATAATTTGTAGATGTGGGGGAAATGGTGATATCAGAATTAATCACAATCCTTCTCCTCTATAATTTACTGATTGTAAATTAGTAAAAAAAAATATTATGTAGTTTTTGTGGAGTAAATAAGCCATATATAATATACAATATTGCCAAAGTTGATCTGTCAAAATTTACTGTTTCCTATTTTACTGATAATGATATGTTTTTAGATTTGTATTTTCGTATGGCTAAAGTTGAAAAGTCTCAAAAGAAAATTTAGTGGGGAAAAAAAAACTTTCTCTGGAGACATATCAAATTTAGCCATACAATAATACAACTTTAAAAACATATCATTATCAGTAAAATAAAAAACAGTAAATTTTGACATATCAACTTTTGGCAAATAAACACAGAATTCGAATACTTATAGATTTATTGTTACACACTTCAAACAAAATCATCTTTATTATTATTAGCTTTAACAAAAATCATAATCTTATTACAATAAACAAATAAATGAAAGAAACAAAAAAAACAACAACATTAAATTGTGCAATGCTGTCCTTAATTTTTTTTTTTTCTTAATTTAACATTTTTTTGTCTCTTAAAATAAAAACAAAAAAAGAGATCTATAAAAAGAATGCATTCGGTACCTGCAGGAGAAATATAGAGAAGAATTTGGAGAAAGAGAATACTCTGTTCGGGGACTGTGGTTCAGGAGTAGAGGAGCAATTCCACTTTCAACTGCTGAGTTTTTGGAGAAGCTAGGTGTGGAAAGAGGCCATCTGCAGAGTATGACAATATCAATTGTTTTGGACTGAGGAATCCTGCACCATCACATGTATAAATTCTGGCCAGTTCATTATGAACTCTACGGACCGTCGTTAGAAGGAAGAAAATGAAGGGGGAGGGGAAAGTATAACAATGAGGAAATAAATTATAACATTCGGTACTTTGGATGATAGTCCCACAAAAGTTTTGTTCTCTCTCAGTAAACAATGTCGATTGAGACTGATCAGTATGCTGGGTGTTGTAACAACTCAAGATAGTTACATAGTTAACTGTTAATTTTTTATTTTAAATATATACATTAAAATATAATTTGGGCCTTAACAATAGGTATAAAATTTTGATGTTCATTGATTCAATAAAAATATTCAATACTATTAAAATGATGCGGCTGTCTAAAATTTATATTGTGAGCTTAAAATCTTTGCTAGCTGTCAACAAAACAAAATGGTGCCAATTGTGGAGTTTAACAGTAACATTTACAAGTAGAGCCATCTATGGATGAATTCTGGTTTTATATGTACACACTTGTTAGTGAAAAAATATGAACAGTTTAAAAAACCCCATCATTCTTGAATGAAACTTTTGCAGTGTGCAACTACTTTTGAAAGTTTCTGAAACAAACTAGCCTTAAATCTGTTAATTACTTTACTATCATACAATAATTGCTTAATTAAGATAATATTTATTTAATTTTATAAAAATAATTATTATAAGTACTCATTTTTTTCTTCTGTCCATTCTCCTGACAGCACTGACAAAGCTTCTAAGGTTTTGCTTCTTGAAACCCATGGTTTCTCTTACCATGGTCTTTGAGCTCTGTCGCTTGTCAATTTATTTGCATTCAATTCATAAATCAGTGCACTTAAGAATACCTCAATTTCCATGCATATAATTCTTATATGCCTTCTCTTATAGGAAATGATTAAATCACCACAGCTTGCACATATATTAGGCAAAAAAGGATGAACAGTCCAATGAAACTGATTGTTATTTTTTAAAATTTATTTCACTATTTGATATTACTAGTAATATTAAAAAATAAAGGAATGGATTGCAAAAATAAATACCAAATCAAACATTTATTCAACGTTTTTCCATCATTTTTACAATGTAGTTTAATAGTTATACTTTCATATTACTTTCTTGAATGTAAGAAATATTAGTAGAAAATATTTTAAGTTCTTTACAATTTTTTCAAAAATCATATTTATTCTTTGTTAATAGGTACAGAGAATTTTTTTAACAAGACAGAAGAAATCAGTGAATCTGGCTCGGAAAGAAAAATGAAAATTAATTTGAAAAAAGATAGCTGTAACCACACAGTTTATCACTGTCATCATTGTAACTATCAATCAAAAAGAAAAAATCAATTAAAATTACATATAATGACTCATCACACATGTGAAAAGCCTTACAAATGTCCTTATTGTGAACATAAAACTGTTTTTAATAGTCATTTAAAATATCATATAATGGTCCACCATACAGGTGAGAAGCCTCATCAATGTCCTCATTGTGAATATAAAGCAGTTTATAAAAATCGTTTAAAAGTACACATAATGATTCATCATACTGGAGAGAAACGTTATCAATGCCATCAATGTGATTATAAATCAGTAAGAAAAGTCCAATTAAAATTACATATAATGAATCATCATACTTATGAGAAACCTTTCAAATGTTCTTATTGTGACTATAAAACTGCTGTAAATAGTAATTTAAAAAATCATATAATGGTCCGCCACACAGGAGAGAAGCCTTATCAATGCCCTCTTTGTGAATTGAAAGTAATTAATAAAAGTCAATTGAAACTACATATAATGTCTCGTCATACAAGTGAGAAATATCATCAATGTCTTAGTGATTATAAAGCAGCTAAAAAAGATTTATTAAAATCACACAAGATTACATGTGAGAAAACTCACAGATGTCCTTTCTGTGATCACAAAGTAGCAACAAAATATAAGTTAGAATCACATATTATTGATTGCCATACAGACAAGCCTCCTGAATGTCCTTATTGTGATTATAAAACTATAAGAAGCAGTGATTTAAAAGTGCATATAATGTTCCGTCATACAGGTGAAAGACCACATCAATGTCCTCACTGTGACTATAAAACTGCAAAAAGGAGTAATTTAAAAACTCATATAAAGTCCCGTCATATAGGCAAGAAACCTCACGAATGTGCTCATTGTGGCCACAAAGTAGAATCAAAATTTAGTTTAAAATCACATATTATTTCCTGTCATACAGACAAAAATGTTTTTGAATGTCCTCATTGTGACCATGTAACTGTTAGAAAAGGTGATTTAAAAATACATATAAAATACCGCCATTCAAATGAGAGACCATATCAATGTCCTCACTGTAACTATAAAGCTGTAAGAATGGGTAATTTAAAAACACATATTAAGTCCTGTCATATTGACAAGAAATCTCACGATTTTTCTTATTCTGATTATAAAACAGCGGATAAAAATCATTTAGAAGAACATATAATGCCTCATCATACAGAAGAAAAAGATTACCAATGCCATCAATGTGATTTTAAATCAGTTAGAAAAGTTCAATTAAAATTGCATATGAAGACTCATTCCACACATGAGAAACCTGAGGAATGGCCGCAAAACCATGATCACGAAACAGAAACAAAATATAACTTAAAAACACCTATTTTTTCCTGCCATACAGAAAAGAAGGCTCATGAATGTCCTAATTGTGATTATAGAACTGTTGAAAGTGTTGATTTTAAAGTGCATATTAAGTCCTGTCATATTGACAAGAAGTCCCACAATGGCTCTTATTGTGAATATAAAACAGCTGATAAAAATCATTTAGAAGAACGTACAATGTCTCTTCACACAGAAGAGAATGATTATCAATGTCATTTTAAATCGTTACGAAAAGGCCAATTAGAATTACATATGAAGACTCATCTCACTTATGAGAAACCTCACAAATGTCCTCATTGTAACCATAAAGCAACAACAAAAGATAATTTACAATCACATATTGCTTCATGCCATTCAGAAAAGAAGCCTCATGAATGTCCTCACTGTGATTATAAAACTGTGAGAAGTGGTGATTTAAGAATGCATATAAAGTTCCGCCATACAGGTGAGAAGCCACATCAATGTCCTCACTGCGATTATAAAACTCCAAAAAGTACTAATTTAAAAACACATATCAAGTCCCATCATATAGATAAGCAACCTCACGAATGTACTTATTGTGACCACAAAGCAACAACAAAAGATAATTTAAAATCGCATATTGCTTCCTGCCATGCAGAAAAGAAGCCTCATGAATGTCCTCACTGTGATTATAAAACTACCAGAAGTGGTGATTTAAAAATGCATATAAAGTTCCGCCATACAGGTGAGAAGCCACATCAATGTCCTCACTGTGATTATAAAACTCCAAAAAGCACGAATTTAAAAACACATATAAAGTCCCGTCATATGGATAAGAAGCTCCACAAATGTACTTATTGTGACCACAAAGCAGCAACAAAAGTTGATTTAAATTCACATATTATTTCCTGCCATACAGACAAGAAGACTTTTGATTGCCCTCATTGTGATCATGTGAGCATTAGGAAAGGTGATTTAAAAATACATATAAAATACCGCCATACAAATGAGAGGCCATATCAATGTCCTCACTGTGACTATAAAGCTGTAAGAATGGGTAATTTAAAAACACATATTAAGTCCTGTCATATAGACAAGAAGTCGTGATTATTGTGACTACAAATGACTATTTCAATATTACTTAAAATCACATAGTCTCACTATATCATGCAAGATGCCTCATGAATCTCATGGAAGTGTATTATCTCCAAGACAATACATGGAAATATTTTGTATGATTATAGGTATCCAGAGGTTAGTGACAAAATATGTGGTTACGGACCATTCCACAATACATAAAGCTTCCACATATACCTTTTTAAAGCTTCACATATGTTCTTAAGATATGGACCTGGCCACATTATTTGGCCATTATAGATTATTGAATAGTTTGGAACATGTTCGCCAAGAAGCTAACTACAAATCAGTAAGAATACAAATAAATTTACCTAAAATGGGTTTCCATAAAGATGGGAAAGACCATTAATGTGATTCTAACTTTCACTGTAACTCTACAGCAACAACAAGGTTTCATTTAAATCACCATATGAAGTCCAGTCATGCATGGGAGAAATTATTACTTTTTTGTTAAATTATTGTTAAGTTTTTCTGCATTCAATTAATAGATTTTTTATATTAGTGTTTAAATTCTATCAACAAATTTAGGTTTATAACATTCTAAAAGTTATACTAATATGCCTGATTGAGTTGTCATTGTGAATTTTATAATTAAAATTGTATTATTGAAATTTATCCAAAATAATTAATAGTACAAATATGACATTACTACAACAGTCGTAAAATTGTGAATAATTTTTACATGATGTAAATTATGAAAAGTAATATAGAATAAATGTAACTAATTTTCTTTCATACCAAAAACTTTTGTTCCTACTTAGATATACCTAACATAATATAATAACTGTAACAGCTTATTTTCTTTCTTCCCAAAATGTTTTCTATCTATGTACCTATACTTACTTATTGAGTATATCACCACTCTAAGGTTCTTTACATCCTTTAACATGAAACTATTTCATTTCGTTTTCAATCCTGCGCTGCCCTGTAGGTAATAGAAGTTTTTGGCAACAGTGGGATGTTATGCATTTGTAAGGAATGCTGTTAGTTTAACGATAACTATCTTTTTGTGAGCTTGGCACACTTGTTCTTCCTTTGGTTAAGCAACTGTTTTCTTCATAAGGAGGAGGTAGGAAATATAATTATCTAACACACACACAATAAGTCAGTTTTTTCTTTTTTTAATGTGTTGAATTTCTCTTTTATTTGAGGGCCCCATGTCATTCTTTTGTTCAAAATAACATACTCTATCGATTTAAGGATTTAGTAGTTATTGGGCTTGTATATCATTGAAGTGTGAATATCATATGCTGTGATTTATCGTATTTTAATCAAAAAAATACAATAATAAATAATAATAATAAGGCTTAGCGAACCCGAAGGTTCGATGCCGACACCACCAATCGCTTGTTACACACCTCCCTCCACCGTTCGCCGTCCAAACCCAGTCCCTTCAGATCGGCTTTAATGCAATCTTCCCACCTTCGCTTCGGTCTACCCCTCGGACGCTTACCATTCGGCACAGCAAATATTAGCCTTTTAGGAATTCTCTCGTTACTAAGCCCAACAACTTTACAAGCCCATTTGATTCGCCGCGATGAAATTACCTCAATTATATTACCCGGATACAGCTCACGCAATTCGGCGTTGTGTAACCGTCTGAACTCTCCGGTTAACTCATCCTTCTTCGGTCCGAATATTCTACGCAATACTTTATTTTCAAAAACCTTAAGACGCTGCTCATCCCTTAATGTAAGCGCCCATGTTTCGCATCCATAAAGAACTGTAGGCAAGATAATTGTTTTATAGATTCTAATTTTTAAGTTTCGGGACAAGAGGCGCGAACTAAGTAGTTTTAATAAAAAAAAAATAAAAAATACTCACATATCTTCAGTTCACATATCTTTACTTCACATATCTTTACTCACATATCTTTAGTTCACCAAACACCACAAAAATCAAAAAAATATTGAAGAGTAAAATTGTACTTAGGATGTTGTGAGTTTGAAAAGAAGCCTCTACTGCCAGCGTGACTTTATCGAATGATTGGTCCACGTTTTGTTTATATTATTGGTCGTTTTACACTATAACTTGTTTTATTTATTAATTTTTATATATTGTAATTGTTCATAAAACTTAATTAAATACTAAATGTAACTATATTGTATGATACTTGGTAATAACATGAATGTAAAATTACCATATTGAATGAGACATAAAGTAAAAAAATGAACTTCTCACAGGGTTACTTCGTTAAAGAAATAATAATATAATAGGATGTGCGTAGTTCTGAATAAACACCTTGGACTAAAAGTCTTCTTCAGATATTATAGATATTTTCCTGTGAGACATTAAAAGAGGTGAAGGAGACATCCCAGCTGCAATAAGAGGAAGAGATGTGAATGAGGAATGGAATCACCAAGAAGAGCTAATTTGATCAGCAGATCAAAATTGTAAGAGAAATGAAAACAGAAAGAAAAGAAATGTGTGGTTTGACCATGAGTGAAGAAGCAGTTAACTTGCGGAATGATAAGAGGGAGAAAATTCTAAATAGAGATACCAGACAGAACTGAAAGGAGTACCACAATGCCATATCTAATGCAAAAGAAAAGATATGCATTACAGATAAACTTGCCTAACATGGAAGAGTGCAGCAGAGACAATGAAGCCAGGAAGTTTTTCAGTGAAGTAAGTAGGATGAAATCAGGCTTTATAAATGACCGACCAGTGATAAGGCGTTCTGATGGAGGTGGTAAGATGCAAGATAGGTGGGAAGAGCATTTAATGAATTGCTAAATCCCATAGAAGATGAGAAGTATTCTTATATGGAATTTTGAGAGGATGAGAATGACCATGAAGTGAGCCCACCAGATTCGAAGGAAGTTAGCCTGATTTTAAACGAATTCAAGAATAAGAAGGCTTCATGTTCAGATGGCATACTGGCAAAATTCCTGAAGAATGGTAGGTCAACAATGGCTGAAGAGTTGACCCATTTAATCGTTAATATATGGGAGGCCGAAAAAATGCTGGATAGCTGGAAGGAATTAGTCATTGTTCCCTTATTTAATAAGAAAGGTGTTTCCACAGAATGTAACAAGTACTGAGGAATCTGCCTACAAATTTTTTGTTCATTATTTTATATAACCAAATAGTGCAGTTTGTAGAACCTAGATTGGGAGATTACCGGAGAAGCTTCAGAAGATACGTGTCAACTATCGAACAAATTTTGTCCTTGAGACAAATAATGGAAAAACAAATGAATTCAATAGGGTTATGTGGCTCCTTTTCATTGATTTTAAAGCTGCGTACGATTCCATCATCAGAAAGGTGCTTTACATCGTAATAGAAGAGATAGGCATCTCGCTGGAGTTAATCTGATATAAATTGTACGTTAAAAGAGAGTAAGTCGAGTGGAAATAGCTGGGGAACATAACAATCTTTTGCAGTGAATTTAGGAGTTAGACAGGGTGGTCCCCTTTCGCCACTGCTATTTAATATTGTTCTTTAAGTTATGGTAAAAATAGCCAAGCTTAATCAATCAGGTACAACTTAATACAAATTCGGAAGTGTTTGGTTAGGCTGATGATGTGGCTCTTGTTGGATTGACCGTCAAAGCTATATAGGGATCCTGAAAAAGGTTAGAAAGAGCAGCTGAAAGAATAGGCCTATCTATAAATGAAGGGAGAACGAAAATTATGGTGCTCAGAAAGAAAACACCTATAAATCCACCAAAGCACCATGTAGTGGGAAAGAATACGTTCCAGTGAGTATCCAGTTTTATGTATCTTGGCTCCATAGTAAATGATCAGGTGAAAGAGGAGGAGGAAATTCGAAATAGCATTCTGTGACTAACAAAGCATATTTTGCTCTGCTATAAGCTTCCTCTGTAGTTAACTGCTAAGTCGGGGTACCAAAATGTATTTAGAAAACTATCATACGATCAGTGCATGATCACCTATAACCTATATCTGTGATACATAGAGTCTCCGAGAGATCCTGGCTGAATAGATTGAAAGGTTTGGGAGAAAAGTGTTGAGGCGAATCATGGGGCCTACCAGAGAAAATGGTTCGCACCGCTTGAGAAGGAACAAAGAGATCTACGGTCATCTCTGAGCTTACCATTTCGTGCGAATTCAGCGCGAGGGCATGTGATCAGGATGGATGATGGTAGAGCAGACAATTCTATTGTGGAACCTCCGATGGAGTCAGACAGTGCAGGATACAGAAGGGAAGGTGATAAGACTCGTTTATTTGAGGATGGTACAATAGACTCGTTATTGACTGTAACGACTGGGAAAAGGCAATCGAGAGGACCAAGGGGAGAGAACGTCTGAACTCTCCGGTTAACTCATCCTTCTTCAGTCCGAATATCCTACGCAATACTTTATTTTCAAAAACCTTAAGATGTTGCTTATGTTGCGTCGACTGTAATGTAAGCGGCCACGTTTCGCATCCATAAAGAACTGTAGGTAAGATAATTGTTTTATAGATTTAGTTTTTAAGTTTCGGAGGAAGAGGCGCGAGCTAAGTAGTTTTGTCACAGGAAAAATAGCAGGCAGTTCCGGCCTTCAACCTAACCTTATTCTAATATCCTCTTCTATTTCGTTTTTTCTAGTTATCGTAGACCCTAGATACCTTAACTTCTCCACGTGTTAAACATAATACCTTCTATATCTATATTGCCATTTTTACAACTCATCACATATTTTCTCTTATCCGTGTTCATTACCGGCTTTCATTAACGTTGTCGTGTTTATTGAAGAGAAGATTGGTTTTGATCAGTAAAAAAAAAGTTAGTAAAAATAAATAATTATATTTATTTTTATTTTTGCCGACATTTCGACCCAAAGATCAGGGCTGAGAAAAAAACAGATAATAATAGGTATGAGAAACTACAAACATTGAATAATAAAAAATTAAAATTAAAAAGCTAAAAGGTATAGAGTAAAAAATGTAGTAAGAATAGACTTAAAATAAAATAAAGTTGGTAGAATAATAACAGTTTTTTTTTTTTTTTTAATGATTTTCTTGAGTATTAATACAGTCTATTGAGTATTAATAAGTAAGGACATTAAATAAAAACAACCAAAGTAGAAAAAAAAAGAAAATATAAAGTGATATACAAGATAAATAAATAACAGATTAAATGATAATAAAATTAATAAAACATATTCACACCTACGTACAATATGTAATAACAGTAATAAAGAACTAAGAAATAAACAATAATGGCAACAAAGTAGGTACTAATGAAATAAACATAATCAAAATAAGGTAACAAAAAAAAATGAATTAACAACGAAAAGTAGTGGAATGTATAAGATAATAAACGTAAGTGCAGACAAGAAAATACAATAAATGGGGTGACATAGTTGCTAGAATATGATGTGATAGTATGCTAAAAGGAAGTGAGATAATCATACAGTCAAATATAAAAAAGAGAAAAGAAATATGAAGTAATATAAGGAAATAATAGATATAAATAGAAAGTTGAGATATTGTAAAATCTATCAAACATAATTCAAACAACTATCAATATCAAACATTACTGACTACGTATTAGAAAATAAAAAGTTAAAATAATGTAAAAAAAAATATGAAAGAGCAAATGTATCAATATACACAAAATATAGAAGGATATGTGGAAAAGAGAGTGAAAAACGAAAATGAATGAAGAATGAATTTCTTTAATGAGATTAAAGAAAAACGAAAAATGAATTTAGTTAATCGGAAATGAGAAAGTCTTTTATAAAGCAATTAAGGGGACAAATGAAATAAAAATAATCAAAATAAGGTAACTTAAGCAATGAAAAACGGTAATCTTATAATAAAATGTAAAACAGAGAAAAGGAATATGAAGTTATATAAGGAAATAATAGATATAAATAGAAAATTAAGATATTGTAAAATATATCAAAAATACTGACTACGTATAAGAGAATAAAAGTTAAAATGCAACGGTTAACCCAAGTATGTGAACTAAAGCACAGGAACGTATATAATGGACTAGAGATTTTTTATAGATAAATTCGATGAGTTG